TATATATATATATATATTAAGTTAAGATAAATTTAGACATGTATTTTTTTTTCCAAAATAGTTTAGGAAAATTGTAAGTATCTTCAAATCTATAAATACATAAAAAGATAACCTATTTACAAAAAGTATTAACATAAAATCAACCAACTTAATGCATTACAATTTCAGCAGTTGTTTAATTTTCTTTTAATCTTAATCCAAAAAATCGGTCATCCATAAATGCATCATAAATTGATGGGTTTTGTTGATGTATTTTTTGAAAATTCCAGATATCAATAATCCATTCTCATTTAAATAAAAATCAAAATCCGTTCTCATTTTTTATTTAAAAAATCTAATTGAAAGTCTCATTTCGAATATAAAATTTTAATTTTTAAATCTCTTATCATTGAGTTGCCATAAAATCGGCCTACATTTATTGCATGCTGGTAGTTTTTTTTTTTAATTTTTTTAATTTATTAACCCCAAAAATCGATTAATCTTAAATGCATCCTAAAATGATGGGTATTGTAGATTTATTTTTGGTAAATTTCGGTAGTGTTTATGATTTTTTAAAAATCAAAATCATTTCTCATTTTTTATTCGAAAAATCTGGCTGAACTAAAAATTGGCTGAATGAAAAGTTTTCATTTAGAAAAAAATACAATCACATATTCTCATATAAATAAACTTCCTATTAAACTACTATTATTTATATATTTTTGTTTTTTTATTGACAATATAAAATTCAAATTAACTATAAATTATCAAGAAAGACGTTTTACGATATCCGTTATATTTTCCTATGCAATTTTCATAAAACAAGTATAAATCATATAAGATATATCCTGCTAAATAATTTAATTGATTTATTTAAGCCTGTCTAGAATCCTAATATATGCAAGAGTAAACAAATAATATTGTATACAAGAATGCGTTTATTAATATATAAGTTATATTTTGTTTTATTCTAATATATGTGTTTTACGTTTTTTCATTCATCCAATCTAAATACTTACCATAATAAAACTAACCCGTGCATTGCACGAGTACTGCACTAGTCATATTAATGAAGGGAGACTCACATGCTACATCACACTAGTCATTTTCCTTAACCAATCTTATCATATCCTATCAACCCTAATAAACGAAGTCTAATATAATTCGCTATCCTTTCTATACATTGAGAAGCCATTATAATTTATAATTATTTGGTGTTTTTTTTTTTCTCTTTTGTGATTTCTTGTTTAAAAGTTAATTTTTCTCGACACAGAACAAGACAAATACCAGCAGCATTTATGTTAGGCCTTCTGCCCAAAACCCATTTCCACTCTGTTTTATTATTTTTGTCTTCTTCTTTTTACCACAATTAGTTCATAAATTCTATGACACCACATGTGACACCACGTTATGGTGCCACAACATGATGTGACACATTATGATCGGCACCACAACTATCACACATCATGTTGTTACACCAATCATAATGTGCCACATCAAATTGTGATACAATTCATTATGTTGTGACACCAATCATAATGTGTCACATCATGTTGTGGCACCATAATATGGTGGCACACGTGGTGCCATAGAATTTATGCAATTAGTGTAACATGCTTTTTCCTTTCACTCCACTATTTCAGTGAAATAAAGGAGTGAAATAAAAACTGAACTCCATTATAATTATTTGGTGTCAGTTTTTTTATTTCTTTTTTTTTTTTTCTTTTGTTATTTGCTCTTCAAAAGTGAATTTTTCTCCACACAGAAGAAGACAAATACCAGCAACTTTTTGTATTAGGCCTTCTGCCCAAAACCCATTTCCCTTCTGCCGAATTATTTGGAGTATTATTTTTGTCTTCTTCTTTTTACCACAATTAGTGTAACATGCTTTTTCCTCTCATTCCATTATTTTTGGTTCACACCTATAATTTCTACTGCTTTAAAAAGGGACTTGGATAGTGATGGACTCTTCAGTCTTGAGAGTGATGTACTGATGTGCTTCTTCTGAGTGTCATCTTTTTGCTTTCCCCCCCTCCCTTTTTTTCTCTCCCTTCCCCTGTTTTTTTGTTTTCCTCTAATAATAAGGAAAAAAAGAAAGAAAATTACTGGATTTTGTGTTGGTGATGGAGTGGGGAATGTTGGTGGGTAGTGTGTTGATGTTGTTTGTTGTGCAGTGGGTTTTGAAGAGGGTGAATTTGTGGTATTATGAGTGGAATTTGGGTGAGAAAAGGTATGAGCTGCCACCAGGTGATCTTGGGTGGCCTTTTATTGGCAACATGTGGTCCTTCCTCAGAGCTTTCAAGACTAGCAAGCCTGAATCTTTCATCTCCACCTTTTCTTCAAGGTCTCTCTCTCTCTCTCTCTCTCTCTCTCCCACACACACACACACATACACAAAACAAAGGAAAAAGCAGGAAAAAGAGAATTATCTTTCATTGCCAAGGAAAAAGATTGAATTTTTACAGTGAAATTAGTGTTTCTTATTTTTTTTTTTTT